TATTATCCAATAAAGGATCAAACAACAATATACTAATCATGATACGAGCTTTAGATTCAGAAAACGACATCTCTAACTATAAATCAAATCAAAATTTTCTGCATAGTGTATAATTGAGATAATATTAGTGTTGTAGGTACATAACTTATGTAAGTTAATAAGCAAAAAAATACTCAAATATGTCCATTATGATTTTTTTTGAAAAAAAACAATTTTGGACTTTTTTTTTTTGAGACTGGGCCAGGTCACCGGTTAACCGACCGGTTCACCGATTTTCATGAAAATCGACCGGATCAGACCGGTTCTGATGCATGGCCGGTCCGTTGCTTTAACCTGGCCGGTTATATAACCGATTTATCGATTCCTGAATCGACCCGGCCGATTATTAATAGTGATTTTAACTTTTAAATTAGTCAGTAGTTTCGATTTTGAATCTATGCACGAAGCTATCTTTTATAATTCTGTCAAATTTAAACTAAACTAGTCTTACAATCGATGGACCAATACAAAATTAAAAAAAATCTTATTCAACCTACGCTTATGCATCTTTTGACACCTGCAGTAATTCTTTGTAATTTTTCATTGTTAATTTAGAAGTGGCAAAATGGTTTGGTCTCTTCAACCTGCCAAAAATGGAGTAGTATGAATTGGCCCGTTTCTTAAAAATGAGTTGAAAATATTAACCCACCTCATTTTATGATTGGTGGGCGGGTCAACTTGTTCAAAAAATTTAAAAATCTAAAAATAAATAATATTTTATGAATTTTATAATGTTATTTAATTTTTTTTGTATACAATAATGTTATTTAATTTGATTTCACATTTTCCTTAATTTTTTTTAATCTAAAGTCTAAATGTATATTAATATTCATTAGAACAGTTTTTAGAAACTTACTTTTGCCTTCAAATATATATATATATATATATATATATATATATATATATATATATATATATTTGACTTTTGTCATAAATAAAGTATTTTTTTCTTTAATTTTCTTAGAGGAGTACTAAGATAAATTTTTTGAATATCACAAAAAGTTAACATGAAAAATAAAATAGTACTTGACAATAAAATAAAAAATTGAATTGGCGGGTCAATCCGTCTCGAGAGGCTGGTTTAACTTGTTTGGATCCACTCTTATACGAGACGTGTTAAAATAAGTTGGCGGGTTAAAAATCTAAACCCAAAATTGTGACAGGTTAAACGCTGTTTTGTCATTGATTTGTGTTCATACCTATTTTTTCAAATAAAATAATAAATTAAAGTAATAATTCATTATATATAATAATGAAATGTTATTTATTTTTACAAGTGTGTTTTTCTTTTATTTATGGTAAATTATTCCACAAATTCAACCTAATCTAATCTACTAATAATGTACAGGTCTCGTTGGTTTCGGAGGAAGAAAATATATTTTCAAACCGAAAGTAAACTAAATTGTTATCACGATCGAGTGGGTCGAGTAAATAAAACAACCCATCCCAACCTATGCCCTTGCTTCCGCTTCAAAGTACATAAAGACAGTTGTCGGGGTTTGACTTAAGTAAACATGAGCTCGCGCCTACAATCTCACACACACAGACATTTCCATTGTGAAATTCATTAATTCCTCAAAAATATACAATATCGATGGAAAGGTGCATCTTTAAGAAGGGATAGGATTCGTTTACAAACTTTTTTTTTTGCAAATTACACTAAGTACGACCGGTCGTACACTGCATGATTAAAGTATGACCGGTCGTACTTAGTGTAGTTTGTAAACAAAAAAGTTTGTAAATATAACCTGCTCCCTTTAAGAATAACATAAGAGAGATATGATTTCGATTAAAATAAACCCGGTTCAAAAATATCCTTATCGTACAAACAAATAAAAGTTATAAAAAATGTCGCTATGAACTAAAGTGTAATCCTTCTTCGCAAACTGAAGGGTCATTGTCCCTTTATTATTTCATGTTGAAGCACTTGCCTAACAACTGCTATCTAGAGTCTAACTATGACAAAAAGCTATTAATGATAAGGTTAACCTAATCTAGTTGTTATCCACCTATTAATTAGGATACTAGCTACTTTTCTTGGCATCTTGGGTAATTATAAATTTATAATCGAGTAACTAACCTTATTGCTGGTTCTACCAAGTCGGGTACTGTAACTTGGAGAGAGAATATTTAGTGAAAAATGATGAAAATAGTTTTTCCTGTCTTCAAATTGAATAACCTTTGTCCCACTTATTGTCTGTAGCTGATTTGAACAGTAAAGTGAAAAAATACATTAGAGTGTAAGCAATAGAAACGAACCCCATTGAATACTCCAAATGTGCACAAAGTCAAATTCCCTGAAGGCTTGTGATCATTAATCTATTTTCTCTCCTAAGGGATGGTCCTCTTCTGGGTACTCATCCCCACACCATGTGTCTCAATTTTAAGCTTCTATCCAAAAACAAGCCACACGGGTCATGGTCCACAGGTGACCCAACTTCACGTGTCCTTCGAATTTGTGTCCTGCATAAACGTTATTTGTTTCAATAAAAAAGACATCTTTCAAGTCGGTTTTTATTTTATTTTTAATGAACATTATTAAAAAAGTAATATTCATCTATCAATAAACATTAATCTTATTATAAGGTAAAGAATTTTCTTTATATTTAAATTTTATATGTGTAATCATTTAATGTATGTTTTTACTTATAACATAATATTTGAGAAGAGTGTAGAATTGAAAGAAAAGTCAAAAACAGAAACTCAAATAAGTTAAAACAATCAACTAATAAATTGAATCATTTTTTATTTTCAAATTTAAAATTAATCCAATCCAATCCAAATCAAAACAAAATAATATATGTTTAATAAAAAATTATTTTACTTTAAATATTCTAGAAGGTATCAATTAATCTAACTAATAAAGTCTTTGGCAATTCATTGTAATTAAAGATAAAAGATTAAATATCACTACAAAATGAAATTTTTTATTTATTTAATTTATATACTAAAATTCTAAAAAAAAAACCTAAAATATATTGAACCAAATTTATTTTTTGAATTAAATAATTTTATAAAAACTAGCTAAATTAAATTAATTAATATTTTCTTAAAATACATTTAATTCAATCCGTAAATACCCCAGGACCTTAAATGGAGTCAGTTGTATGTCACTGACTCAGTGCTATAAGAATGAATCTTTTTTTGAAAACTAAGAAGGAATCTTTTAATCGGTGTTATTGTAAGTACTCTTGTCACAGTTTAAAAAAAGAGAGAGAGTTAAAAGTGCTGTTTACTGTTAAATTTTAATAATAATCAAGATGGACTTTAAATTAAATTATGTTGAAATCTGTAGGTCGCTAAAGGGAATAGCATCCACTTATTTTCAGTGGCATTGTTCATTATCCAATATCACTCTTTTCATCGTGCGGATTCTTATCAAATTCTATTATAAAGTAGTTTATGCCCTTGTCGAGCAAACATAACAACAACACCTGACTTTAAATTTATATATAGTTTTGTAGGTTTATACCAAACAGGAGAGTACAAATAACTGTATCTTAAAGAGGATGTCAAGAATTTGAAGGGGTAGTTTGTAAAAGGAAAAAAAAAATCATTTTAAAACTTTGATTAATTAGAAACTAGGATTTCAACGAAAATTTGATTACAAATAAATTAAAAAATTGATAAAATCTACCCAAAAAAAAAATTAATACAAAATAATTAGCATAGGAATTATAATATTAAGAATTATTTTGAATTTGGATGGAATGTAGGTTAGAAGCTTCACTTCAAGAAGACACTCGCCTTTTGTTGCACTCTGGGCACTTAAGTCTCTTCCTTGTCTGGATTGCCAAAGACCCGTTCATGCACCCTTTATGCAATGGCCAAATCCGAATGTCCATAATAGAGAATTGGACTTGGGTCTCATATTATTAGAAATGGAACGTATCCCATCAAATGTTCCCAAAAGTACAATGTAGATTAATAGAAATAGTAGCCATGACCATTTAAAAATAATAATTTTTATAATTTATTTATTTGAAAAAGAAGAAGAGAGAATGTAATTAAAAGTCTGTGTGTATTAACCTAAAAGGAAGAGATGTAAAAATAGTGCTGAACCTTTTGCATGCAAATATAATTGTCATTTTTAAAAATTTGTTTATATGTTGTATAAATTAGGTAACAAGAAAAATTTGCTTTCAATATTAATTAACATATAAGGCTCTCTTAAGTCTTAATTCCATTGGTCTATGGTCAACTGTTGTTAAAACCTTGCTTATGGTTAGTTTAGTTGGTGAACGGCTTAAATTTAAGTAGAATAATTTCTCTTGATAGGTGATATATAGTAATTTGAGCCTTTATTAAGAGCCTTTGACTTATCTTTACTTTGCATTGATGTACATATATTCAGTTACTACTATTATAAAAGATAGCGGAATATGAAAGATTAATTATACTTAATCATGAGCTAATTAAATCTTTAGAAGCATTATTTATTACGTCAAAGTTCCTGTATCCTGCATGAGGTTGTGAAATAATAATAATAGTAATAATAATAATAAAATAGTAGACTAAGGTGAATGACCGAAGAAGTTGTCTGGTTGTTGGTAATAAGATATGAAATAAGAGAAAGAGAGATTAATAGAACGTGAGGCCTACGGGGATCAGTGGCCCCAAATCATCATCTGCTAAGGACACAGTATAGCCTGTGCAATAGCAGCATAACAGTGACATAATTTACCTCATCACTTTGCTACAAACTTTACCCCCCTTAATTTAATTTTCCATTACAATATATATATATTCTCTATGGGTGGACAAGCATGTTAAGTAGTATTATTATTTATCTAGATGACACAAAATTATTGAGGAATAACAATAGGGAGTAGCTAAATTTTATGCATAAGAAAACAATAGCCAGAAGATAAGTAGGTATACAGAGTGAATTGTTTTCTTCTCTATCGTCTCCTGATTATGCTGCTGTCTCCTAAGCTACTTTCTCCTTCGTGCCTTTTTGGGTTTTAATCTGTGAGTTTTTTTTTCTGACAGACAAGAAAGCAGGTCCTTGTTTCTTCATTTTTCTTATGGTTTCTTTTTCATCTTTAATTTGTTATTCTTTCCAAGAGACAAGGAATTTAGCATGCAATTGAATTTTTTTCTTTCAGCAGAAGGATTCAAAAGTTTGATAGATTTTATTTTTAGTTCAGCAATTCCAGATTTGCAAAAGAATTATGGCTGCTGCTTCCTCATCAACATCATTCTTTGGAGTCCCAGAAGAAAACCCAACTCAGATTACACATCATCAATCCTCCACAGCTGCTCCCACCACAGTGCCTCAAAAGAAACGGAGGAATCAACCTGGAACACCAAGCAAGTAGCTTATTTGATTTTGATTACTTAAGGCATATATATATATATATATATATACACACACACACGTACCCCATTTTTTTGTTGGGTATTTTCTCAAGAACAAACACAATGAAACCCTAAATCATGAACATGAGTTAAGGCTCTCGATTTCTATTACTGAAGAAAGGTTAGAATGGTTTGAAGTGCTTTCCTCCAAGTTTCTCAAAAGCATAAGAGTTCGGGTTTACATTTTTTAATGATTTTGTTTTTCACTTCTATTTTTTGACTATACTAATGAAATGCTTTCCTTAAGAATATTCATTAATATAGGCAAGTAATTGAAGCATATAATTTTTCTAATAATTTGTTCTTTGGCATTTTGTCATGGTAAAAATTAAAGTTCCAGATGCGGAGGTGATAGCACTATCTCCAAAGACCCTAATGGCAACAAACAGATTTATATGTGAGGTTTGCAACAAAGGGTTCCAAAGGGAGCAAAACCTTCAGCTTCACAGAAGAGGACACAACCTTCCTTGGAAGCTAAAGCAGAAGAGTACAAAAGAGCCAAAGAGAAAGGTTTATCTGTGTCCTGAGCCCACATGTGTCCATCATGATCCTTCAAGAGCTTTAGGAGACCTCACTGGGATTAAAAAGCACTACTCTCGCAAGCACGGTGAGAAGAAGTGGAAGTGCGAAAAGTGCTCAAAGAAGTATGCTGTTCAATCTGATTGGAAAGCACATTCTAAGACATGTGGCACAAGAGAATACAGATGCGATTGTGGCACTCTCTTCTCTAGGTAACAACCCAGTTATTCTTAGTTAATTACTAGCTAGCCTTGCACATGAACTTTTATATATATAATAAAGAATGTTAGTTTATAAGTTTATGAAAGTTTAGGGTTTTTATGGTTTGGCTTGAATTATTTTGCACAAAAAAAAGGCTTTAAACCAAATAATAGTAGCTTAGTTGGTACATAAGAGCTGAGCAGGTGAGAGTAAGAGCATGTATTCGATCCTTCCCAGTACCATCTTCAGAAAGTGTTTAAAACCTTTTTATTACAAGCAATTTTTAAAGTAAAATATAAGTTGATTCAATCATGTAATAAGTTGAAATTGAAGTTAAAAAGAATTCTAGTGATATGATAATGTAGCTGAAGAATATAGTCCAAACAAAAGTTAGATGTGAACAAGAGCTTTCTCTCTTTTTCCCGGTTAGTTTTGTGTCTTGGTTTTATTAGAGGAATGGTAGGAGACTGCTCGCACGTGAGTACACTTTTCAAATGGGGCACAAAAATTGAAATGTTTTGAGAAAGAAAAAACAAGCAAGTTCAACTTTGGTCCTAGGGAACAGTGTCCCTCATCCTTATTCCCATTCACGTGTAGTTAAACAACATTGTAAGGGGGCACACAGGCACAGTGATACTGGGTTTGTTCTCACATGTGTTGGAGATGCTGAGTTTTTGTTCTCTTTCGGGTTGGCTATTTGTAACGGTTCAAATATATATTCAGGTATTTTCCAGCAATGGGTCCAAGGTCCCTAATTGTCACCACCATGGCTCCCTATTTCTTCAAGTAAATTACTAAAACAAATTCTCAGCATTAATTGGCTGATCTATAGTCTATGCTTCTCATAGATTTTCTGAGAAAATTTAGCAATTCTTTGATGGTACGATTGTGATCAAATGAATTCTTATCGAAGAAAATTGACAAATATTGAGGTAGTTTGCATTTATTGAGCTGGCCCCATCCAGGGCTTAAGATTATAGACTTTCATCAAAGTTGCAAATAATTCTCTATTTTACTAACCAAAGAGAGACCTCAAAGTGGAAGTTCGATTTGGAATTCTTGGTGTGTAGCATATTTTAGCATAATCCCCTGGGCCCTCTCCTTAGATCTGTTGTATTTTCTTAATTTCAAAATAGCAGTTCCAATTACAACGGAATTATATTCCACTTAAATCAATCTTCACTTAATATTTTTTTATCCTTTTTTTATAATTTTTTACATCTGGCTACCCTTAGTATTTGGTTGATTATATGTAATTCATATATCTGGAACATTTCTAGTTCCAAAATTAGTTAGGTTGCACGATCATTAAGTTACCAATATTTATCATAAAATTGAATATATGGTCTTATTTTAAAATTTTAGGTGTTGATTTGTAGCATTGTCGTTATTTAGGATGTTTACCTTGTTAATTAGGAATATTTTGATTATCGTGATACAATCTCAATAACTATATAATAATTTTGATCTCACGTGATACTCAACCTGATGAATTCAGTTTATATTGTTTCCCTAGTGTGGATTTCTATAACTATACAATTGTGATTATGTAAGATGTTGTCAATGATTATTTATTCTTCAAATATATTTTGTTGCAGGCGTGACAGTTTCATCACTCATAGGGCCTTTTGTGATGCATTAGCGCAAGAGAGTGCAAGATACCCTTTAAGGACTCATTTGTTTGACACAAATCACATGAGTTTAGGCATATCCCAAGTGAGTACCCAAATTTCCCAACTGCAAAATCAGAACCAAACAGCCACTAACAGCATTATGCGCCTTGGCAATGGTGGTGCACCAAAGTTTGAGCACATAATCCCACCTTTAAACCAATCTTCATTTGGACACTCATCACAAACAATGCCTTCCTCAGCTTTCTTCATGAATGACACTAACCAAGCATTTGAAGAGCATCAATCTCAGCAAGGACAATTCTCAAACAAGCAACTACATGGTCTAATGCAACTTAATGCTGATCTTCAAGGCAACACCAATTCAGCAACAGTAGCTGCTCCTTCCAATGTTTTCAACCTCAGCTTCTTTCCAAATAACACTAGCAATGGCACCATAATCTCTGATCAATTCAACAACATAAGTGGTGTTAATCAAGGAACAACACTCTACATTAATAACAACCAAGTAAGTGATCAAGTTGGTTCGGGTTTCTCTTCACTCTTTAGCAATTCAGAGCAACATGAAAACATGTCCCCTCATATGTCCGCCACAGCATTGCTTCAAAAAGCTGCTCAAATGGGTTCAACCACAACCACCAACAACAGTTCCTCTCTACTAAGAGGAATGTGTAGTTCCTCAACCAATGATGCCAAATCTGACCATAGGGTACTTGTGCCTAATAATGTTGCCATCACTTTTGAAAGTGATCATCATAGGAGGGGAGAAGATATAATTAGATCAAGCATGGAAAATGACCAGCAAGATCTTCATGGATTCATGAACTCTATTACCAACGAGAACACTTCCATATTTGGCAATGTGCAAGGGAACCAAAACAACCTTTGTAGGTTTCACAATGTGGAGGATTCAAACAATAAGTTGCCACAAAATCTTAATATGAACTTTGGAGGGTCTGATAAGTTGACGTTAGACTTTCTTGGTGTTGGAGGAATGGTGAGAAACATGAGTGGAAGATTTTCCCAAAGAGAACAACAACAACAACAACAACGTGCCATGAGTACTATATGTTCTTTGGATCCTGACCTGAAATCAGCAGAGTCAAGCCAACATTTCGGAAACTCAACACTGTAATAAGGAACCGCAAGATTAGGATCAGGGAGAGAAAAAGAAAATGCTTGTTACGTATGAACTTGTTTAAAACTTTTCTTCCTTTATTTTATTTTATTTTCCTTAAAAGAAGTGTAATTGGTATATTAGGGTTTCGATTCTAAAAATTGAAATTTCTTGTTTTTTTATTGAAAAAAATCACTTTCTCTTCTCTCAGTGTAGCTCTCTCTTTGACGGTGATAGAAATCTAATAAATTTATTTTCTGTTTCATTGAATTTCATGTGCCTCGATTTAATTTGAGACAGTAAAAACAAACGGTAAAGCCAGGTTGTGTACAATGCTCACCAAACGAGGATGATGACTCTCTCTTGCTGAGAATCTTCACGTTTTGGCTATATTCCAATGGAAGCGACAAAGCCTGATTTCCCTTCAGTTTCATTATTATTATTATTATTATTATTATTATTATAATATATGATGTATAATACTAACTAAAGCTACACAAACTTAAAAAATAAAGCAAGGAATTTTGTATTGCCTACCTAATACCTTACTTTTAACCTTATTAAAATAGTATTGAAAGAGATAGCAAGAGTTATATAAAAGTGAAAGTATATATCAATCTAAAAAATAATTACGAATTCTTTTTCAAACTTAAAAGTTCTTGTACAATTGGATTTGATTTGTTCAAATGATAATGAACTCGATTCCTGATAGTCGCAGCGACTAAAAAGAATGGAAATTGGAGAGATTCAAACTCAAAATCAAATTAGTCAGCCTTGTTAAAACTTCAAACACCAATTGGTATAATACAATTGGAATGTAAAACTAATTTCCGATCACATGAAACTCAACTAACCAAGGAAGGAAGACCTATATGGTTACATCAACTTATATTTAATGATAAAAAATTTATCACCAACTCCATTATCAATACAAGAACTTATAAGATAGTCCCTGCACATTTTCAGGTGCTTTTGTTGACATTAACAAGGACCTTTTAACCTTTCGTTTATAAATATTCCTGACCATATGTTGACTGATTTTGTAATGTATATACATCTCCTTGACTCTTTCTTCTCTCTTATGCTTGCATGATATATAGCATGCATTGTAGGGGGGTGCATGCAGTTGTTGCTTGTTAGGGTTAGGTCTCACGTCATTATCTATTAGATGGAAGAGTTTTATGGAGTTAATGAGGGTGTGTGGTGGCTGAAGCATACAGTGCTCAGCATGATAAAGAAACACTGGTCTCTGAAATTTTCGTTATTGTAATTCTTAGTAAACGTTCTGCGACACTTTTGTCGTACCTTATGTCATTTGCTTCTCCTTATGGGAATCATCGGTCCGTGACTACGAAAGCCAGTCATTTCATTTCGTCTTTAGTGAACCACCACTTCACTTTCTATTTTTCCTTTTTTTTGGAGTAACTGAAATAATTCATTCAAAGTTAAGACAAAGAGTTTCGATATTTGAATAAATCCTCATTCCTCACGTCATAAAACGATTAGGTATGAGCAACAATAGTTTTTTTTTTTTTAAATAAAAATAAAACTAATCTAAAGATTCTAAACACGTATTTAGTCAGCTTTTTTAAATGATAAAAGTGAAACGTGTCCACTAAAAGATCTATCCCTCCGTGATATAGTTCAATTGAGGAACGACAGATTTTTTTATGATGTTTGATAATGATGTTTTTAAATACATTTCTAAACTTTCAATAAAATTATGACTCACCGATTGCTAATAAGATCTAATGAATACCCACTGGGTGAAGTCCATAAACTAGATCCTTGTTCCAGTTTTAATACTATGCTTGGTACCTATAACATGAAAATTTCATGCAGATCGAGTTTAGGTAGACTAAATCGTCTATGTAATTATTTAATACCGGCCGGGAGTCATTTGTGCTTATTATACAAATTAGATATGAATAGTTTTTTTTTTTTTATATGTGGGGCGAGTTCAGGATAAAGGCTTTAAACTTCTTCCAAGGATAATACTGAGAAGAATTGAATATATACTTTTACACCCACCTGCTCAGCTCTCATGTATCAACTGAGTTACCATTAACATGAATAGTTTTCTCTACGGCATTGTAGTGAACTTACGAATTGAATAATCTAATTTGAACTTACGAATCGAATAATCCAATAATCAATTCAACACAACAATAGGATTTCAACATGCACTATTTACAAGTCAATATAATGATCTTCTAACTTTTTGCATAAAATAATGAGTTTTCAATTTTAAAAAGACCCTCCAATTATTCTAATTTGCTTTGTCATGTGCATACTGTCAATACTATTTTAAAGGAGTGAAAAATTTAAAGTTCCATTGTAAATTGTAGCTTTTTTAATTAAATATGCAATATAATTCCCCCCCAAGAATGCTATGACACCATTTGATACTTCAAAATACAATTAATATTAAATTAAACTTCCAATAAAAAATACCTCAAAATTATTCAACACGAATCATTTTATGTGTAAATTTTACATGAACTAATTATATGTAAATTATGTCCGTTTTCCTTCTTATAAGCAATAAATAGATGGGATCCAATTGAGAGATAAATACAAAATTGATATGATTAGGTTAAATAAAATTTGTAAATAAGAGGATTCATTTCCTCTTTATATGTAGACTAAAATTGATATAAAAAATCTTAATGTAGAATGCCATATATATATATATATATATATATATATATATATATATATATATATATATGGTCAGGATCATTTTACACCAGTGTAAGTTACACTCTTAATCTTGACCACTGATCTTACTTATATCTAAGGACTCTAATTTTTTAGTAATGTGAGCCATTAGATATAAGTGGATCAATGACCAAGATTGAGTGTAAGACTTCTAACTCTTATACTAGTGTAAGAATATCTTGTCCCATATATATATATATAATAAAATGAATATTTACTCAAATTATGTTCATTACTGTTCACAAGAGGTCATGTGTTGGCAATAAAGGCATGTGAAACTAGCTTTTTTTAAATCTTTATCAATGGGATCGAGGAGTAAGGTGCATTATAAAAGTCACATACTTTTATGCCTGATAAGTAGTAACTTAAACTAACGTGAGGAAATCATAAGATATTTTAAAAAAAAAAATGTGATTTTTAGATGCATTATTAAAACATTGGAGCTCTTGTATCCTCGCAAGAGGTTATAATAATAATAAATAAATAAATACATAAGGTATAAGTACCCACCAACACTTTCTGGAGAGGGGCATAAGTACCGTAATCCTTGGACTCGCACCCAAACTCTGAATTAGTCTCATAGGCGGCTCAAAGAATCGAACCCGTGGAGATACCGGGGGTTCTGATTTGCCTCAAAGAGGTAATTAGGATCAGTTACCAAAAAAAAAAATTATCTGATTGTCGGTAATAAAATACGAAAAAAATAAAATAGAGAGAGATAAAGTAAATGAGAGTTAAAGAGAACATGAGGCCTTCGAGAGCCCCAAGTCATCATTCGCTAAGGACACGGTATAGGCGTATAGACCTAGGGGTGAAAGGGGCTGGGCTGGGCTGGGCCAAGCTTTGCCCCGAAAAGCCCAAGTCTACATCAAAAAATTTCAATTTGACCTAGCCCAAGCCTAGTAAGAGTCTAACCGTTAGTAGGCGTATAAATGGACTGGGCGGGGCGGGGCTTTGGCCTTCCTGGCCCAAGCCTACGTAAAAAAAAATTCAGCTTATCTAGCCTACAGGCCTATTAAAGGCTTTATTTGTAGGCCAAGCCCGACCTATTTTTAAAAATAAGAAAGTCTGACATGGCCTACAGGCCTTGTAGGCCTCCTACTGCAGATACTAAGCAAAAAAATTAATTGTATAGAGCAAAGAAAGTTCCATTCATGCATGCACTAGTACTTCTCATAAGAAAAAAATGACAAACAATAAAGAGTCAACATAATACTCCAGCTCTAGAATGTATATCATAGAGGAATAGAGTCAAAGAAATGGGGAAAAAAAGAAAAATACAATTACGGGATGCTGAAATAAAGTCTACAAGAGAATGTCATTCATCTAAAAATCTTTAAACCACCATCAAGACAAGGGAAAGAAGAGTATTATTGAAAGATCTTCATCAGTAACATCATAAACCAACAAGGTACCCATTGCCACCTAAAATAAATATTATTTTATTATTTTATTTTAATAAATTAAATAGGCCAGCCTACAAAACTGTAGGTCGGGCTTGACAAAATTGGCCTATGGCCTATTTGTTAAAAAAGATTTTTTATAAGCCTAAGTCTACTCTACTTTTCTAAAAGGTCGGGCTGGGCTGGGCTCAATGTAGGTCGGGCTGTAGGCTGGACCGGGCTAGCCTGACCCATTTACACCCCTAACTGTTAGCCTGATTTGGCCCATTTATAAAAAAAACAAATTGCCTAACCTAACCCGTTAGCCTGCTAATTTTTAACTTCTAAGCAAAACCATGAATCAACTTTACAAAATACCCAAATTCTGTTGCTAAACCAAAAATCATAATTTCAACGTCCAAACAGAATCATGAATCACAACAAAACTCATACAATCTGCATTTAAGTCAATCTCAAAAGCAAAATGCTCAGATTAAATAACATAGATTTCATCAGATACAACAAACAAATCCATACTATGTAAATTAAAATAATTACATGAATCCAACAAACACATCATGATGCTTGTAGTAAGTATAACATCTCCTAAAATCTTTTAATATATTCATATACACAATTTAACATGTTAAAATGTTGGTTCCTCCTATATAAGAAATAAAGCTAAATTTCTATTAAAATATAATCGAATATAATTAAGTTATAAATAATTATAATTGATTATATTTATATATTTTATTTTTTCTTCAAGTCATACTTATTCTATTTTATTTTATTTAAAATAAATAGACAATATAGGTCGACCTGTAAGCTTATAGGCCAGGCCTTGTGAAAGTGAGTCTACGGTCTTTTTATTAAACAAGCTTTTTCAAGGCTCAAGTCCAGCCTATCTTATAAAATATACTAGGTCAGGTCTGGTCTGACATAGGCCGAGCCGTAAGCCCCTATAGACCTGTCCGGCCCAGTTTCACCCCTACGTATAGCCATTGTAAGAGCAGCATAAGCGAGACATAAATTACCTCTATCACTTTGCTAGCAATTTTACCATCCTTAATTTTCCCATTTTATTTTTTCGTTTCAGTTTATTGTAATTAATAGGAGGTATAATGCCTATTTTAAAAGTATTATCATTTTATTTAAAAAAAAAAAAAAAAAAGTATTATCATTTTACCTGAAAAGTAATAACTTTAAACTAATGTAAGGAAATCACAAGGTATAAAAAATATAATGAAAATAAATATAGGTACATATGAAAGGAACATGTGCGGCACATTCTTTTAGGGGGTGAGGGGAGGTTCCATTATTTATAGGAATTAATTATATTTAGACGCAAAATATTATAGGTACAAATTCTGCACATAACCTCATTTAGATGCAACCATAAATGAAATGCATTCCTGTTGGTTAAGAAATTCATATCATATACATCATACTCACAAAATTGTGTTCTATGCTCTATTAGTGCACCATGATATTTAACGTACAATACGGTTTTAAAATATATAAAGTCAACTGGATTGTTTCACCAAGAGAGTGAGAAATAGATCAGATTATTCGTGGATGTTACCAGGTATCCAATTCTGTTTTATCAAGGAATGCAAGAACCAAACATGAACCTTTCATCATCTAGCAATCCTAAACTTTTACATACTTGCAGGTTAGTCCACCCTTCATTTCCTAGCATCATATGTCAACCATAAGAGAGTAAAGAGCTTATCCGGCAGCTGTTTACATTACTATAACAAGTACCAAGAGCTGTGAGAATTCCAGGAAAGAATTCAAGTTACCAAGTACCAACACCTATTAACACCTCTAATAAACTAGTTTTAAAACTTTAAAACCAAGAAAAATAAGGGTACATACAAGGTTTCTTCAAATAAAGAGAGCCCCATACCTAATTATAAGACTGCATGACATACCACCGAAAATAATTTTCTTTTTTAGATAAACAAGAAGCGATGCAGAGTCAAACCAAGTATATGAGGTGTCAGAAAATCTTGTTCTCAATATGCATAATTTTAGGGCAAGTAGTTCATGTAAAAATGCAAGATACAGATAACAGAGGTACTATTTCTAATGTAAGAAAGAGCACGCACGAGTAGTTGCAGCATATTTAATGAAGAATATGGCATAGAGAATTTTACAGGAAAAATGTCAGCAGATATTTTATAAAATGCAGATGTAGTATTTAAAAATTTTCCTTAAGCAGATTCTTTACTTTCCTGTGTCTATGTTAAAAACTGTCTGAATTTTGTTGCATCCAAGCAAACTATCCTAACAGAAATGGAGAAACAATTGCACACAAAATGAGTAGGAAGAAATTTCCAGAATACAATTAAATGGTTATGGAAAAACAGCCCAAGTATAATGTTAGCATACCCCACAAATATCCATGGAAAAGACCAAGTAGAATTAACATCATCAGCATCAAAAATTCATTCTCATCCATAGAAAAATCTTGTGTGTTGGAAGGTGTCCTAAGATTATTTAGATTTTATCACCTGATGTGAAGTAGTACAAGACCAAAAAAACACATAGTATATTAAACTAAAACAACAAAGAAAATGAAACATTACCGGCATTTGTGGTCGATGTGGCAATTGTTGTAGAACAATTTCCTCATTCTCCAGGTTCAAATGCCGGTAGAAGAACATAGAAAATGAAACTAGAAAGCAAATTAACATGTGACTAAAACATTTTCTAACCACAACATTTCCCCTTCAACACTTACCCCTATTATAACTAAAGACAAATTAAATACAAAAGCATTTAAACATTTTGTATTCAACAATAAGATCATTATAAACAAATGCAATGCCAGGGTGGGCAACTTCTCTGTTCAAATCTTCAGGATGACAAAATGGGAATAAACTAGTTCCAAGACACTCTCAGGGAAAATATATATATATATATATATATATATATATATATATATATATATATATATATACACATATAAAAATAGAGTACCAAGACTTTTACATTGTACTAAACTAATGAAACATTTGAACCAAATATATTGGCAGATTCAGCAGCAAATATGAAATTTTACCATCATTTATGATAAATTCAGATCAAGTGTTGGATTACGTATTTTGCTTCATCCTCATCTACCAAGCCATAATACTTCAAACCAAAGTCCAACATTCATATATAATTAGATGATAGCAACAAGACCTAGTCACCACTCACCCGTAAAATGAATTCGATCTTAGAAGTCGGATATTAACAACCTATTGGTCTAAAACATTATGTTACATCAAGCAAATCCAAACAAATCAAACTTGTATTTTAACGAATTTTCTGAATTACTTCTTTATGGAGAGTGCAAGAGATACAAACATCAATCATCAACCCCATTTCATTATGCAGCAGCAGCACCAAATTATAGCACAGCGCAGCAACACAACAAGCAAACACTTTTGAGCTTCAATAATCATTGTCAAACTCAATAACAACACTGCTCTGTACAAACTCAATGACATTGAAAAATGAAGCATTCTGAATACGAACAACAACAGCCAATTGAAAAAGGTTAAACAAAACCATAAAAATCATGATATCCAGGACCCATCAGAGTTCTAAACACTAACATGACTCAGTCCCTTAAACGTTCATTAACAATTGCGATGATAAAGTCAGGTCAATTCGAAAAATATGAAAAACGAAACACGGTTGGTATTGCTTTAGAGAGAACGAATAGAATAAGTGTACTTGAAATTCGAAATACGAAATAGATAAACTTTACCGAGAAAAGAAGAGTGGACAGAACGAAGCCCTAATTCTGATGGCAACGCAGAGGAAAGGAGAACCAAAAGGGTGAAAATGGAGTAGAAAGAAGTTCAGCCAAATTTAAGGCCCATTAGGGGAAAATTTGGCACATTTTTTAGGCCCAAATAAAGTCAGGTCCATTTCTTTTTGCAATATAAGAAAACACCCCGTAATAGAGAGGAGAAAATTAATTGCAAAGTGTATAATTTGTATAATTTAAAGCGATAGGTTATTTTACCTATCACATTTTTACCTACCTTTGCCTATTACTTTTCAATACCGTTAGATCAGAAACTAAAGAGTACAGAAAAAGATAAATGTTAATTAAGATTCTGATCTAATGGTTTTTTAAAGTAGTAGGCAAAGGTAGGTAAAATAACCTATTTAAATGATTGCATAGGAGATTAATTTTACCTCCTATAGACTCATAAAAGTGTGTGGTACTCATGTGGGACAATGTGAAAAGAAAAGAAAGAAAAATATAGTATGGGGTCCACACACCTTTATGTATGTGTAGAACATAAAATTATCTCCTACAACATGAGAAACATTAATCCCTTTAAATTAAGTTATAGTGAAATTAATGTATTATTCAATGACTTCTATAGAAATACTCTAACGAATGTGTGAATAAAGATTTTTGTATTGTAATTGTGATATTTCTCTTAAGATGATGGTTATGTTATTGATCTGGATCCCTTAGAAGTGACATTGAGGTCCAACCCAAGAAAGGCCCAACATCATTGCTTAACCTAGAAATAAACATGTTCATCTCCCATACAACTGGACATCTCCCATCAAGTACTTAGCAAACAATTGGGGATAGGGCGGGATCAGCTACTCAGAGCAAGCAAACCATGAGATCCAATAAAAACAAACCAACACTCACTTGCTGTAAAACTACACAAAAACATAACCTAAAGGCATCATTACCCGCAACAGTCTGGCAGGCAGAAATTAGCCTACCTCACTCCTCCAATAAGAATGAACACTGCCACTCAAAGGCGACATAAACGAAGGCACCCCTATACGATAAATATCACAACAAGCAACCTTAATGATCATGTTTTTTTATAAGAAAAAGCCACGTAGAACACTAAATCATAGTGAACCTGTGTTCCCTTGAATCTCACCCCCTCGAACTTAGAATATTCTAAGTGTTATCCATTCATCTCGTCATATTCTTACCCATCACACTAGACACCTTTCTCCATCTCGCTCTATCAATTTTTTCTTCAACCATGTGTGATCCAGTCTAATAGTTATTGGATTGATCAATTTTAAATATCAAAAAATATATGGATATAAAACACAAGTTTAAGAATCTTGTAATTATAACAGGGATTCTGAAGTTTTATTTCACACATAATATTAGCTTTTTGAGTTTTCGATGCTTTAAAAATAGACAAAATTAAGGCTTAGGTAACCCTATATTTAACTCTATTAAGAAGCAGTACACTACAAAAACTTTAACATAGTGTAAATGAAAAATGTCATCATACTGCAGAGGGTACCATGAATAGGTCAAAGAAAAATAAATGTGTCGTCTACGTCTATTGGATGATTCGATTTTTTTTTAAAGGAAATAGTTTAATTTATTCCTTTAAATTTTAATTAATGTGAACTTTAGTTATTTTCAAAACTATTGCATAATTATCAAGTTATTGCATGATTGAGTTAACAAAAGATAAGTTCGGGTACATAATCATGCATAACATAGTAGTTTACATTTGTAACATATTCATCAATTATTGAAAATTATTTTATAACATATCAAAACTTCATTTAATTAATGAACATGGGTCTAAACATCTCATGGCTTTTTATGATAACAAGTAATCCTAAAAAAAATACTAAACGTATACAGATATGATCAACTATTTAAACTTGTTTAAATAAGAATTTACTCACTTTATTATTTGTAGTTTCCGTTAACTAAAGCAAGATTCCCTGATCACCCGGGAACGTGGTGGCTCAAGCTAGGGAAGTTTATCAACCGATTCAAATCGTGGAAACCGAACCGAAAAATCGATAATCGAATAAATTGAAAACCAACAAATCGAAAACAAAAAAAAAAACCGCAAATTTTAATTGGATTGGATCGCTTTTGGATGAGTCGATGAAAACCGATCCAATATATTAATTCCCTTCTACCTACTTGGTCTTTTCTCCAATCATAGCCCAAAAATTTCTAAACCCAAGACCCATTAACCCATCAACTATATAAATCCAAGAAAAAACTTAGTCACGTCTCATCAACAAAATTTCATATGTGTAGAGCTTCATATCTCATTGTCAAAAAAAAAAAAAAAAAAAACTATAGTATTGTTTACTGATATTTTTGTATTTAAAATTTTTTTTACAAAACTAATATATACAAAATATGTTATTTGCACAATAATCATGAAACTAATTTTAGGATATTCAAAAAGCCGAAAACCGATTCAATTCAAACCGAAAAAAATTGGATTGGATCGGATCGGATTTGAAAAAAAATACAAATCGAATGGATAATTACATGATCAAACCGAAGAGATTAGATCGGATGAATTTTGTTTCCAAAACCGATCTAATCCAGACCGCGAACACCCCTAGCCAGAGAGTTGTTAGCAGCAAGATGGAATACCCAAACAATAATTGAATGTTCATCCCCATCAACCCACCCCTTCTCCCTAATTTTGTACTGAATTCAGTATTATTTTTCTTGCTAAAATTATGTAAGATGCTTGTACTCTCATAGGTTGTAAGAACCAATTGGCAGCATACTTATTCATAGGTATTAAAATTTGGGGACCATTTGATTTAATATAGTTGTAATAATTCATGCGTGATTTTGTACAACCATTGTTTTAAAATTAACAAATTATGTCTACACTAGAAATATGTAAACGACAACATTCAAGCCTTAATATGCGTGCCCTTTGGTTTGACTCTTGCCCATCTCGTAAACGAGGTTTGTTTTAGTGGTCCCATACATATGGTCCCATTTCAAAAATAATTAAAGGACAAGGGAATGGGAGAAAATTTTAAAAAAAGTGAAGGATTGGGAGCGAAGCACAATTTTCTAGAAATAAAAAAGGGATCACCTAAAAAACGGATCACTTTATAAAATTCCATCGTAGACACCGCGATTGATTTTTTTTAAGATAAATCACAACTACGAGTTATCATATTCGAGTAGAGGATATTTATATCATGCTAGGGTTAGTGCTTTCAAATTTTATTTTATTTTTGCATTCACAAAAATTTAAAGCCAAAATATTACTTTAATAGAATCAACCATATGCCACTTAAAGTAACTTCCTTTGTAAATACCGCCAAAGGCGGATTCAAGTATGAGACGGAGGGTAAGTGCTCACCTTTAAAATATGACGTAAAAATATAAAAATATCTTTCTCTTAAAATTTAAGCTTTTCCAATTTAATTTTGGGGTAAGATATTATAACAATCAATTAGGGTTATTATCAATGTTACTACTAATTAATTTCACCGTTAAATCGATTATGTCGTTATGATTTCTCATATTTAATACTTTATATTTATTTTCACCTTTGTATGGTTATGATTTCTCATATTTAATGCTTTTACATTGAATATAGGGATCATAATCATACAAAGTTGAAAACAAATATAAACGTTGGATCAACATAATCGATCTAACGGTGAAATTGATTGGTAGTAACTCTAGTTGATTGTTACGATATCCTACCCTTTAAATTTCCTCCTTCTATTTTATTTTTTCGTGAGTTTTTTTCTCCTCCACCTTCATTATCCAAACCTAACAGCAGAGAGCTCTATTCCAGACACACCATTTGCATCTACATATTGATTCATCTCTTCTCAAACCTCAATCTCCGTTATTGGAAGTTGGAACATTTGCTTCTTCCTCCAGTTGAGTCGCAATCCGTCCAGATCTAGATCTAAACCAGACTCAACCAGCCGACAGCTACTCGCAAGTCGCGTTCCAGACCAGACCAAAATCTATATGTACCTGAACTTATTGAGTGTCCATCTTTCATTAATTTTCTAGATCCGCCCTGAATACCGCCGTTGATAAAAAGCACGAGCTACCTACGCTACCAATTTACAAACAAGAAATTTCAGCAATTACTTTTTAACAGATTTATCAATTAATTAATTACCCTGTAGCTCAACATTATCTTTAGCTATTTCATTTTTTAATGATATACATACACGAGGGAACTTATGTCTGCGAGGCATGATGGATTATTTATGGGACATATTTATGTGGGGCCCAGTATTTCTAAAAAAAACGATAGCTCAAAGATCGATGGGTGTATTGGAGAATTGTTATATAACATGAGAGTTACATTTCTCGTTA